TTCACGTGGATTATTTCCTGCAGAACTATTATCTCATCAATTGTGGTGGAATGGTCCTTCTTGGATAAAGTGCAGTGAGATTGCCTATCTAAAATATTCTTATAGATGAAGAGGCATTACCAGATGCACGTAAAACAGTCTCATTTGTAGTTTCTGAACCTGTACAGGAACTTGCTATTATATCAAATATATCTTCATTTCCAAAGTTACACAACGCATATTTGCTTGGATATTAAGATTCATATCGAATTCTAAAGTAGCATATCTAGAAAGAAATACGTCTTTTTATCTAGTAATGAAATTCGAGCTGCAACTTTCTGTATTGTCCGAATAATACAGCGATTTCACTTTTTAAAGAAATCAATGTTTGGAGTTGGGAAAGGACTTACCTACAAACAGCAACCTCCTTAGCTTGTGTCCAATTTAGATGACATCAAAGTGTTACGTGTAGAGGAAGACTGAAAAAATGCGCAACTATCAGAAAATGAAAAACATCCAATCTTATTACCTTCAAAACACAATCTGACAGAAATCATAATTAGACACTTTCATGTCAAATATCTGCATGCAGCACCGGAACTTCTTCTATCTTTAATTAGACAGCAATTTTGGATCATAGCTTCTAGATCTGCTATCCGAAAAGTAGTGAAATCTTGTATTACGTGTTGTAAACTTAGAGCTAAAACTGCAAGTCAAATAATGGCTGATCTACGGGAATCTACTAGAGTAACACAATCGCGACCATTTCATCGAACTGGAATAAGATTTTTCTGGACCGTTCATGATTAAACATCGTGCACGACGTGGACAAAAATCATTTAAATGCTAACGTATGCTTAATTTGTGTGTTTTGTAATCAAGGCAGTACATCTTCAAGTGGTAGAAGATTTGTCAACAAAGGCATTTTTTTAAGTGCATTGAAACGATTTATTGCAAGAAGAGGGAAACCTATTTGAAATTTATAGTGACTGCGGTACTAACTTTTAAAGGTGCAGACAAAGAAATAAGAAAATGTTTTTTGCAATGTCAGCAAAATCAAGAAATTCACAAATTTTTGTCTTTAGAGGAAATAAAATGGATATTCAACCCGCCATCATCTCCCCATTTTGGTGGACTATGGGAATCGGCAGTAAAGTCAATGAATTACATCTAAAAAGGACTGTTTGGTGTTACTGTGCTGACCTATCCGGAATTTCAGACCTTGATAGCGCAGGTTTGAGGCTTGTCTCAACTCTAGGCCATTGTGTCCCAACATCCGCTGATCCAAATGATTTAACTGCATTAACGCCTGGTCATTCCTAATAGGAACGTCTTTAACTGCCATACCTGAAACCAGACCTAAATTATAGTTCCTTCAATCACATTGACAGATGGCATGTGAGACAGTTTATTTTTCAGCAGTTCTGGAAAAGATGGAGTCGAGAATACCTGTCTCAGCTTCAACAAAGACCTAAATGGCAAAAATGTCAAAACAATTTAGAAGTCAATGACTTAGTCCTCATCAAAGAAGACAACCTTCCGACTCTTAAATGGAGGTTAGGGAGAATAATTGCTGTTCATCCGGGCTCAGATCAAAGAGTCAGAGTTGCTAGTATTAAAACTGGTCATGGTGTCATTAACGACCAGTCGTGAAAATTGTGTCCTCTTTCCTATGACTAAAAAACTATGAACTGCTTCGCATATAATATTTTGTATTATTTTTCTTATGTTTATCTTTATTACAGACTAAGAAGTTTCAAAATGCTCCAACTGTTGAAATCCCAGGGGATTTCAACGAGGGCCAGGATGTTTATGTGAGTATCGTTTGCTTCATTTTATTGTTGCAAACAGCGTAAATTCCTTTTGCTTTTCTTCCTTTAGTTTTGAACTTTATATGTGGCAACAAGATAAATGATTGATAGAATTGTGTTTGTGACAGCCATGTAGAATGGCTCGCTTATTTTGTATCAATTATTTTGCATCGCTGACAAGTGTAATTTAATAAAAGTGTAGGAATACAGTCCATTTGTTGATTGATTATAGTTTGTGAAACATATTAAGTTTTAATAGAATACAATGACTATTAAACTCATTAATAATTTTAAAATTAAATAGTTAATTATTATCAAATTAACTAATAGCCATTTAATCAATGTTTATAAATTCTTATTTAATCACTAATTATTACAGAATTAATTCATTATAATTTAATTGATAATTATTATATAATTGATCAATTATAATTTAATTGATAATTATTATATAATTAATTATTATTTATTGAAATAATTAAAGATTGAAGTAATTAACTAATTAACATTAAATAAAATGTAAAGAGATAAATTGAAATTTAATACGAAACTTAATATAATTTTATTGTTAAAATAAAATTTTCGAGATAAAATTTCTACTGAACTGTTATTTAACTACATAAAAGAAGTGCCGCAGCCTTCTTATTCAGGGCTCCGGTGCGTTCCGGCAAGAATTATGATTTATTACAAAAACTAAGAAGCACCGGAGCCGACATCCGCTGGGTTCCGACCCAATTTAAGTTCTGATCGTAGGGGGGGGGAGTTCTTTTATCATCACAAAAATTAAATATACTTAAAGTGTAGCGGATGAAAATTCCAAAGCGAAACAGAATGAGAGTATGAATATGTGGAAACAAAAAATGAGGGGAATCGGTGAGAAAGAACGCTCTCTTTGACCGCGGCTCTCTGTCGATATAATTATAGCCATCAAGCAGATGGGTGTCAGGGGTAAAAGAGTCCCGAATCGGACTCCTAAATGTAAAGTACGCTTCCCCTCCATTAGTGGATACTGTGGGAAGACGATGTATAGGACATGCTTGAGCAGTTTATCTCAGTATTTCACTCTTATTGTACTCGCTGTCACTTAACGCACATTTCAGAACACAAATTTTGCTTCCTGCGAAGATAGCTAACTGTAAGCATCGATAACAATACACTAGATAAAATGGCATGGCGCAAAATTTAGGCGTTCCTAAACAAACTTCCCCAACTTTATTGCTTTTCTTAAAGAGAAAGGTTTCCGCATGTGAGTGAGGGGACTTTACTTGAACGTCTCATGTCCTCATGAGTTCGTATTTCTAGGGAAATAGAGTATTGCAAGGTCTGCTTATTGTTAAACTAAAACGTTAGGAATTCTGAATTTTGTTCCCTTTAAATTGTGGTTCAGTTTTATAAAAAGAAGTACTGGAGCTTATCTTATTTAGGGCTTCGGTGCGCTCCGGCTAAAATTGTAATTTATCTTAAAATTTGAGAAGCATCGGAGCCGGGCTCCAGCGCAATTTAAGCACTGGCTTTAAGGAGATTCTTTGCTCGAAGTGGTAAATATAATCTGCACTGACAACAGTTCAAACTTCATTGCTTCAAAACAGCCGCCTGGTAGGGAAGATGGTGGGAGCATATGATTAGAATGTTGAACGAGATGCTCAGAAGAATTTTGGGCAGAAAAAGTCATGACTATTAAGATTTAGAAACTATTCTATGTGACTGCGAAGCTACAATAAACTCTAGGCCACTTACATACGACAATTCGGAAGGTTTGCCATTAACTCCCTGAAACAACTGAGTTAGACGAAATCGACAGTAAAAGCCTAAATATAAGATTGCGTTTTGTACAAAACTAGGATTTAGCAATGTTGATTCATAAAGGTAAGAGCTGGGAAGAATCTTGAACATTTGGGGAGGTCGTTCTCCTAGAAACTGATGGCAAGTGTATCAACTGGCTTTTAGGAATCGTCATGGAAGTCTTTTCTGGAGCAGTTGCACAATCAAGAGTCACCAGAGTGAGAATAGCTGATAGAGAGAAATTGAGACTATTCTTTAAAAATCAACTTTTTTCCTTAACAAGAATTTATTCCTTAAATGTCCTTATTATTAAGGACTTTATTCCTTAAAAATGAACCGTTCGGAAAAGTTACCACTCATTGCTCAAAATGCTCGAAGGGCTGATGAGAGTGGCTCTACGAAGATGCCTTTACGCCCTGCAGCTAATAATTCAGATTCCATTGAAGATGATGATTCCTCATCCAAAGTCCCATGTTTATGCACTAGAGCTGATCGACGTGTTAAAATTCCCAATAGACTTGATTTATGTTGCAATTTTATAGGTATCCTACAAATTGTAAAGTGGGAAGTTGTTTGAGTAATACCAGCTACAACTGAACACTGTTTACGTTTTTATGTTTTGAAAATAAGCTCTATCGTTTTTGTAAATATACGGCTTATAAATTTGGTAAATATCTGCAATTAATGTTTTTTTTCATATTAAATCCATAGTTATCTTCGAATTTGCTTGCTTATCTTACACAAAACTTTGTAATTTCTGCTTATCTCACATAAAACTTTATGATACCTTATACACTATATTTTTCTTATACTTTTAGTATCAGGATCATTAAATACTCAGTTGAATGATACTTAAACTGAGCATTTAATGATCCTGATACAAAAAGAATGAGAAAATAGATTTCAAAGTGTGTACTCTTTTCTCAAATTTGTGATTAAATCGCATATTATCTTATTTTGAAAAGCTCAGTCCCTTTTTGAAAGTACACTTGATAGTATTAAATGAAAATAGCAGAGCTCTGAATGTAAAATTAATAATAATTATGAGCAAATAAGAGCACTTTTACTTATTTATTTGTTATTTTTTAAAATTTAATTAGAAAATAATTAATACATTATTTAATTAATAAGTTATTACTTATCTACTTATAAGTTATTCGCCTTCAGTTTATTTTTAATATATTATTTTTAGATTTAGAGATTACCTGTATAACTGAAGGAAATGTAACGCGAGCTAATTTCGCTTTTTAAAATTTCTTATTCTTATAAAAATAAAACGCGACAGTATTTATAAAAGAATTAATCTCTCAACGTAAACAGCAAAGAGTTAAACTATGAAAGGAACTTTCTGTCACGAAAAAGGAAGCCACGAAACGACCTCTATTTCAAGACTTTAGAAACATAGAAACCACTGCATTTCTGTATAGAATCTTGTAGATTGATAGATTATAAATGAATGCATATATATTACATTGAATAAATAGCGTAATTCTCAAAAACATTAAAAAGTGTATTTAAACGGCTGTTTCCCGAATAAAGGATTTTTCATTTTAATGATGAAAGAAAGGGAAGGGGTGCGTTTCACGTGAACCTAGCGTTGGCAAATGTTTGTTTACATCTGTTTATCACGCAGACTTCATGACCGTGCTCGTGCAATTTAACCTCCCCTAAGCGCAGACTGTAAATTAGCGTAATATTTATTAGCAAATATATGTAGCCTAAACAACATATCAAATATCTAATTTTTATTTTAGCAATGGGTATAGGGGAAGAAAGTACAGTAAGAATGCGTCGAGCGAAAAGCGTGACACAAGTTGAAGGGGTATCACAGAAAGAAAACAGAATTCGTGCTGTGCAGCCGGATAAACCGTAAGTCATGTTTTATGGCTTAATTTTATTACACATAATATTTCCGTTAGATTATAATTTCTTTCATATTTCGTTTATTCATATTTCGTCTAAAGTTCATGTTTCATCTTGTGCAACTCTCTGCAATTGTATGTGCAAGTGATAGCTGTATTTTTCAAAATTAGGCAATATTCAACTGTAAATTGGCATTAATTTCAGAGAATTGCATTATTTATTTCGAGAAAACATACTAAAGTTTTTCTTTCTTAAGGAACGTAAAATTTTTCGTCCTTGAAAAGAGATCTATCAAAATATTGCGTCATATTCTGTTGAAATACATTTAATATTTCTCGAAAACTTGTTCTAAAGTTGATTTTTTATCAGAAATTCTGAAGTGTAATTTTTTCATTATTATTAGATGTGTTATTTTTCTTTTGTGTTTAATGTTCGAGGAGTTTATTTTGTGCTGAAAATAACAAGTTTGAGTTGTAAGAAAGCGTAAAGTTGTATTGAATTTAATTAAAGAAAATTTAAAATTTGAAAAGGGATTTTTTTTTTTTTGTAAAATATTTAAAAAATAATTGAATAATGTGAAGAAAAAGTGCTGCCTTTTTTATTACAGCATATTATTTGTCATTGAAGGTATACATAAGTAGTGGTGATAAAGCTTCAGAACAATTTTTGATGTTGTCTTTGCATGATCAGCACTAGGTTATTGCTGCTTGGTGCAATCTCTTTGGGTCCTAAATTCTGCTGCCATGCATTTTCCCAAATTCTAAAAATTTAAATCTAAATTTAGTCCTAATTTCTGTTGCCTAGTGCCTCCACCAAATTCTAAAAATTTTGCCATGCCTAAATTTTGCTGCTGGCTATTTCTGTAAATTTTAAAAACTTTGCTGTCCATTGCAACTGCACTGATTTCATTGTCTGACATTCACCCTGAGTTTTTGTTATGTTCCTCCTTTCTTTCAGATAGGTGATGTATTATTTTTATATTTTGTTTTTGGTTTCTTTGTGATGAAAATAATGGATGCATATTTTGAAATGTATTTTCATATAATATTTATATTCCTAAACCATAGTGTATAAATCCTTGCATTAAAAATTTAATTTCAATCAAAAGTTATTCATGTTCTTTGGTAAAATAAGAATTCACCCAATGTAGTTAAACAAAAGGAATTCATGAGAAGAAATGCCAGACTTAATGTGCAAAGCAATTTTTAGAATGCACTATTTCTAAGTTTGTATTCTGTAATGTAAAATTAAAACTGTTGTCATCAATATGAAATACTTGATAACTAGTAGTAATCTCCCTCTTTCTTTTTCCCTTCCTTCCTTTCTTTTTTTTTTAAATTAGATACTGAAGCATGGAAAATACTGTGTTCATTTTCATTCATAAGAATATTATTGGTTGAGTATATTGGTCGGTATATAGTTCCTCTTATCTCTAATATCCTAAATAAATCTTAACTGAAGCTGGATCTTTTGTAATGAATCATTCATAGTTAGGTTCTTTCTTATTATAGCAGCCCTGAGATTGAATTTCTAATCAGCTGAGCTATCTTGCCAAAATCTGGCCACATGTTCTTATATTAGCATAATGTTAAAATTTTTGCTGTTGTCATATGTTCTTGTGGTTGATCTTTGGATTATGGTAACTTGGCGATTTTTTGGCGAAAATTTGGCGACCAACTCTGCTACAGCAACCCTCTATTTTTTTTTTTTTTCCCACCGCCTTTTTGTCTTCACGAAGTAAAGACATGTTTCTTTTCTTTTTTTACTCAACACTTTTTCCAACAATCTACTAGCCGAATTACACTTATGCTAGAAATTTTATGTAACAAAACTGCTTAATCATGACAAATATTAACTGCAAAAAAAAATTGGCGACGGAAAAAAAAAAAAACAAAAAAAAGAAAGAAAAAAAAAAATTAAATAAAAAAAATAAACGGAGGAAAGAAAAACAGAAAAGAAAAAAAAAAAAAAAAAAAAAAGCGAAAAAAAAAAAAAATCTAAAAAGGAAAAAAAAAAAAGAAAAAAAAAAAGTGAGAAAACGAAAAAAACAAAAGGAAAAAAAGAAGGAAAAGAAAAAAAGAAGAAAAGAAAAAAAGTGAGAAAGAGAAGAAAAAAAAAAGGGAAAAAAAAAAAAAAAAAAAAAAAAAAAAAAAAAAAAAAAAAAAAAAAAAAAAAAAAAAAAAAAAAAAAAAAAAAAAAAAAAAAAGTGCACAAATCGCAAAACTCCTTGCGCGTTTTTTTCAGAATAAAAAAAAATAGCACTACACAATAATAAAACCATATTACACGTCGTCTTCTGATTTTTACTTTAAAAAAAAAAATCCCAGAATGCACAAAAAAAATGGTATTTGCACTAGTATATGCACACACTCTTAAACTTTATCATCTACACTGACTATTTTCTCATTAAATTATAAAAAAAAAATTACAAAATTGCACGAAAAAATGCAAAACAATTCTTTGTGAACCTTTAAACTCGGTTTTAAAACAAAATATAATAGTTTGTATTTATTAAAAAGCACATACAGTTTCAAAAGTCGTTTTTTTATCGGGAATCGTTCGGGGACTTCGGTGGGTTGATTTCCGGAATTATCGATTTTCGATTATCGATCATCAGTTTAAATGGTAAGATGGCATCTGGCAGAAAATTATAAAAATTAAAAATATTTTGAAACCCTTAATTTATGAAAAAATAAAGGTGAAATTATGATTAACCCTTTGCGCATGGTGGGTCAATTATAGTCCAACCAAATTAATATTTATTTCTCAGTCTGTTAGCAAATTTCCGGGTTAGAAATTTTCTAATCTTTGTTAAAATAAAGTCTATTTAGTTATTATTTTTCTCAGTTAGATGTTACTAACTATTACCAGGGCTCTTTTAAATTGAATAAGCAAAAAATATTCAAAATAGGGACACCAAGAAGTGATATTCTGTATCTCGCATTTTTTTTTTTTTTTTTTTTTCAATATTTTTTAAAATTTCGAGGTATTTACAATTTTTTATGATATGTTATGGTATGATTTTTTAATATTTCAAAGGTTATTTTAATTTTTTTCAAAAAAAAATCTAATGGATTTCAATATTTTTAAACATTATGTTTGCAGGTTGAAAAAATAAGTGGTGTTGTTAAAATTTTGTCCACACCCAACACACTCTTGAATTTCCCTCAATTAAGATTGGCAGCACTCACGATTAATTTTTTCTTTTCTTTTTTGTTGCATCTACTTTTTTCCATGATTGCGGCACGCTTTATTTACATCCATTGTATGCTCTGATGTGCTTAAAATGTTCTAAGGAAAAAAAATTAAACAACTCAAGAAGCTTTGAAATCTTTTTGCTTGGAAATTGCCCAATCCGATTGCGCACTCTCAAATGCTTCTTTCAGATTGTTCAGTTCTGTTCAGATTATTTTTTTTTTGAAATTGAAATCCAGGATATTTTTGATAATAACTGAGGTTGAAGGTTATTGCTGAGAAGAAAAGCAAACAGAGAAAGGGGATAAGTAAAAGTTAGTTATATAAGTTAGTTAGTTAAAAAATGTTAGTTAGTAAGTTATAATTTGTTTCGGCTTTTTTTTTTAAGACACAGGGGACCCATCCTATTGCAATGTGGCACCTGTTAAATATGGATCGGAAGATTCTTACCCAAATTAAAAGACAAATTTATGTCAAGAGGAAATATACTAGACTTTCAGTTAGCGATGATTTCATTTATTGCAATATAAAAATGGGAAGGATTTTGAAAAGAAGATTTTCTGTTTTCTATTCTGTCTTGCTTGGGACAAAAAGGCAAACTGAAATTAAAAAAATGAAAGAAAGAAATTAATTAATAGAAGAAGAGGATGGATGGAAAGAAAAAAAAAAAAAAAAAAAACAAAAAAAAAAAAAAAAAAAAAGAAAAAAAAAAAAACACAAAAAAAAAAAAAAAAAAAAAAAGTTACTAGTACCTGTGCCCAAACAGCATTTATTATTATTTCATACAATAAGAAAATTAGGATTTATTGTCGATGATTGATCAACTGAAAAGGGGGACTATATGAAATAGACCGCAAAAAAAAAAAAAGCAAGATAGAAAGAAGGAAAGTGCAAGAGAAAGAAGAAAAAGAAGAAGAAACAAAAAAAAAAAAGCAAGAAACTGGTTTGGCTCCCCCCCCCCCCCCCCCGTGCGGCCACATATGATTTTTTTTTTACTTTTTTAGATGCGGAGTAGTATAAGGTAAACACATTTATTAAAAATTTTGTTCGCGGAAACATGATTCAGATTGTTTTGTAAAAAAAAAAACAAGAAAATTAAGAATTTTCTCTTCTCAGTTTTTTACAGAAGGTCCTCTAATGCACCTTGCAGGCAAGAAAGAGCTGAAAAGAAACACTGAAACATCCCCAGTTTTCAAATAAAAACTAAAAAAAACCGTTTCGTTACAAACCAGAAAAGAGGACCCTAAAAATAAAAAATGTAAGTTTTAAAAAAGTAATAAACCGCCAAACAGAGAGAAGAACGAGGCAAGGAGAAGATGTGCATATTATTGCAGCATATCGAAAAGGAAGAACGACAAAACATTTTGGAGTGTTGAAAATTGAAACATGTGGGAAGTAAGTAGTTAACTCTATGCTTACAAAAAGAATTTGAAACAACCATGTTTGTTTTTCACAGTCATGAAAAAATGCCTCTTTTTTTTTAATTTTAATCATATAAAATAAATGGTTTTTGGATTTTCAAGGTGCAATCAATTTTAATATTTTATTTAGGTACATAATTGTAACAAAAGTTATCTATCAAAATTTTAATCTTTCTTTTTATAAAATAATAAATATTCAAGGAAAAATAGTTTCTTTTGTTTCTAAAATGTTTTTAAAAAAATAATTTTTAAATTATACTATATTGCAAAAAAGGCGCATATGCAAAATTTTTAAAGTCATTGCTTATATGCAATAAGTACAAATGCAATTTATTTTAGCTTTTTAGTGTGTTTTATTATTGAATATTTAGAATGGCACGCTTTTATTTT